AGAGAGAGAGAGAGAGAGAGAGAGAGAGAGTGGAGGAGGAAGAAGAGGGAGGAAAGGCAAGGCCTTTCTCCCTGATACCTGCGCGAGGCAGCTATGGCGCTGCAGGGCTGGCGCTGGGCCGCGGGCTGAGCTGGAGGCTGGCGCTCTTCCACCGCTGCGCTCTCTCTCCTCCACGCTGCGCTGATCCTGTCCGCTGCTCCGCTGCTAACACTGAAGTGCTGCGCTAATCCTGTAGACTAACATCCTCGCTACTAACCTGCCTGACTGAGGCTGGTACCCAGCTGATATAGTGCTGGGCCGGCCTCAGTCCTACTGAGTGCCTTCGGGTTTGGACCGTTGATCGGGCCCAACGGTTCAGATCCGATTTGAATCTGAAAAGTGGCGCCTAAAACTGCGCCGCCGGCCGGTCCTACCGATGGATCGGTACCTGGCCTAAACTCAACTAGCCATTGGGTCTGGTGGGTCTAAACTAGGCCTACCGGACTCGAATCTGAACCGGCGGTTCCCTAGGCCTACCTGGACCTAGCTGGGGACCGTCGGGACCCGGTACCTAGGCCTAACCCGTGCCTACTACCGAACCGGGCCTTAACTGAGGCCCGTGTGGTATCAGTATGCCACACCCATGCAGACCTCCAGCACGAGCAGGTACGTCCTCTCCTCACTCTCCCCTGACTACCCTCATCCCTTGTCTACCTCCCGACATGCTTGCCTGAATGTGCGGTGACCACCGTCCAATCCCACCAGCAAATAAGGAAGAGCAGCGCGGCTATGGCTGACGTCCTGCGCTGCATCCAGCAGCACTTTTTTGACAGCGCCCGCGTGCACCATGCCCAAGAACAAGAACGCACCAAATGGCACTGCCGCTGCGGCACGAGTGCCTCCAGGGAGAAGGACTGGCTTCTGGCCGGGCACTTTCCTGGGCAGGCTACCTGGCCAGCGTCGTCCATGCAGACGCGCTGCCTGCCTACCGGAAGATTCTGGCCACTTTCCTGGTCGTGCTCGACGTCTGCATGCATGGCGGAAGCAATGTACGTGCGAATGCCGCCCATGCATGCAGACGTCGAGCACGACCAGGAAAGTGGCTGTGGTAAGCACAGGCTGCCTGGCCAGCGTGTGCCCAGGCCCAAAATCTTCTGGTACGTTCCAGTAGACAGCGCCCAGGTTCATCCCAGTAAGGTGCATGGGTCCTGGGCAGTTAGTTTTTTTGGAGGTGCGATACGGCTCCACATGTACAGCGGCCTCTCATTGGCTGGTTGTCGAGGTGCGAGGGCGCCGCTGCTTCCCATTCATTGGCTGGCTGGCCGCGCTGGTGATGTCAGACACGCCCTGCACTCGGGCCTTGGTCGCACGGCCTCACCAACCAACCAACCAGCGCCCCTCAGGGTAACAGGGCGCAAAAAGTCCTGATGCCCTCAGAAAGACCCTCTAAACAACAGGACTGATAGTCTTTCTGAGGGCCGCGGAGAGAAAACTTTCAGGCCCGCCTTCGCTAAGGGTGGGTGCCAAACCTCGCCACCGGGCCTCTTAGGTGCTGCCGAGGGTCTTTAAAGTTTAAACCACTACTAGCTCTGAGGCTGTTTTGCGGAGCCTGAATTTCACTGCGCTCCGAGTTTTGCCGAGTCCCATGAGTCCCACTCCATTTTCTTTTCTCGTACTCTAACGGAAAGAACCAAAAAAAAAAAAAGAAGAAGAAGAAGAAAAGTTGCTTCCGTGAAACTCACGAAAAAAGGGAAAAAAAAAAGGGAACAAAGCTTTGGCTGTGAAATGCTGCTATACATTCTTGGAAGTGGTAGTGTGAGTGTGTGCCCTCATTAGAAAAAAAAAAGAAAAAAGAGAAAAAAAGTGTGTGTCCTCATCGAGGGCGTCTCAGCCCCGTGGCCAGGTTGTCAGATGACTCAGATCCACAAAGACAAAGAAGGAACAAAAAAAAAAAAAAAAAAAAAAGGAAAGACGGATTCGGCCATGAAATTGGCTCGATACATTCCTGTAAGGGCCAGTGTGATCAGGGTCACAATCCGCCGAGGAAACACAGCTTGAGCAGATCGCGGATGCAGATTGTCAGATTCCGATTGCAAAACAAGAAAAAAATAAAATGAAAACATGGATTCGGCCGTGAAAATGGCTGGATACATTCCACTAAGTGTCAGTGTGATCAGGGTCACAATCCTCTGAGGAAACACAGCTTGAGCAGATCACGGAATCCGCCCTGCCTTGCTGGCAGGGGACGGGGATTCGTAAGAACGAGAAGAGAAAAAAAAAAAAAATAAAATGCAGAATCTGACCCGTTTTAGCGGAAGATTCATTCTGTGAAGGACTACTGTGAACACGGCCTCCTAGACTATACCCTGCCCGACATCATTGCAGCAGACAAAGTATGTGCTTTTTTTTTGTTTCCCTTTCATTTGCTGGCAGTATAAAACTAAATTTTATGGGACTTGCCGGCCCTGGGTCCCACTCCGATCTCTTTGGGAACGGGCATTTTTTCCCCCCTAATTTCCGAACACTGGCGGAGGTGCAAGTGGTTTAAGCTCTCTCAAATGCTTTAAACCAAGAGAGCTTATCGCAATGCTCTCTTATTCCAGAGACTGTGAGGACCCTGGCCTCAAATGCTATGAAATTGAGGTGAAAGTTCATCAAAAGAAAAAGAAAAAATAAAAGAAAAAGAAAAAGAAAAAAAGAAGAAGAAGGAAAAAAAAAAGAATAAGAAAAAATAAAAGAATAAGAAGAAATAAAAGAAGAAGAAGAAGAAGAAGAAGAAGAAGAAGAAGAAGAGGAAGAAGAAGAAGAAGAGAACTCCATAATGGTGGAGGCTGGGTGGAATTGCCCATTTTGGGCTATAGAACTTGTTGCGATGGATGCAGGCCCGTTTCCTGGCGTGCATAATAAAAAGTCACTCCTTTTGGAAAACACAAATAAATCACAATGATTGTTAAAAAAACACAATTTATTTAATAATTAATTCGACGAAGTGAATTTTTTTTTTTTTTTTTAAAGACGCTTTTCAAACCTTGTGGGGAGGTTAATGTGGAAAAGAATTGTCTGAATTGGCTTGTATAATACAAAGTTACTCTTTTTGTAAATATAAATATTAAATATATATATATAACTCTGACGAAACAGTTTGTCACAGCCCCTCGTTTGTTGTTCTCTTCTCCCTCCCTCTCTGCCTACGCTTTACCGGGCAGCTCTCTCTTTGATGACATATATATATATATCGTCACATACAGAACTGCCCGGTAAACCGTAGGCAGAGAGAGAGAAGAGGACAACAAACGAGGGGCTGTGACAAACTGTTTATTATATTATATATATAATATATATATATAGTCGTTGAAACTCCGACGAAACAGTTTGTCACAGCCCCTTGTTTGTTGTCCTCTTCTCTCTCTCTGCCTACGGTTTTACCGGGCAGTTCTGTTTGTGACGATATATATATGAGTCGGTGAAACTCCNTTTGTGACGATATATATATGAGTCGGTGAAACTCCGACGAAACAGTTTGTCACAGCCCCTCGTTTGTTGTCCTCTTCTACCTCTCTGCCTACGGTTTACCGGGCAGTTCTATTTGACGATATATATATTTCAGCCTCCTGATGAGTCGGTGAAACTCCGACGAAACAGTTTGTCACAGCCCCTCGTTTGTTGTCCTCTTCTCTCTCTCTGCATACGGTTTACCGGGCAGTTCTGTTTGTGACGATATATATATATATAATATAATAAATATATATACAATATTATACATATATTATATATATATATTACCGGGTAGTTGTGTTTGACGATATATACTAGGACTTCGATAGCACCCTGCTTCTAGTGCCAGCGGCGTGTCTGGAGTGTATTTTTTGGCTGTGACAGACCTTTCTTTGCTTCGTGGGTGTTTTGCTGGCTTGTGATGGGGTAGGGGGAACCGACAGTCTGTATAGTTTTCTATCTGGGATGGGTGAGTGATAGTCTGCTGACTCTGCTTTGATTTTCGTCACAGGTACCTTGAGGGCAGTGGTTGGTGGTCCCCACCACCTCAGGGTATCAGTTGTCGAGCAGTTTCGTTGATGCTTAACCGCAACCACCTAGAGGGCAGTGGTTGGTGGTCCCCACCACCTCAGGGTATCAGTTGTCGGCCAGTCGTTGATCCTTAACCGCAACCGGGGTTAAGGTAGATTTCTTTCACTTACAGTGTAATAGTCTTTTTACTTGAGTAGTCTTATGCATGGTAAGTACTCTACCTCCAATCATGGCCGCTAATAAAATAAGACTGTTGAGGGTTCAGTCTCCTGACGAGCCTGTGAAACTCGCTGAAACAGTTTGTCACATCCCCTCGTTTTTTTCCCTCTTCTCCCTCCCTCCCTCTCTGCCTGCTCCTCACTGCCCCGCTCCGTTTCACGATATATACAATCTGTTTCGTTTGAGTTTCACCGACTCACCGACGCATCGGGAGGCATATACCTCGGTTTGATTGAGTTTCCCAGCCCCTCCTTTTTTGTCCTCTTCTCCCTCCCTCTCTGCCTACGGTTTATTGCGCCGCTCTGTTTGACGTATATATGTCGTCAAACGGAGCTGCCTGGTAAAGCGCAGGCAGAGAGGGAGGGAAAAGAGGACAACCAACAAACGACTGGCTGTGACAAACTGTTTCGTCGGAGTTTCACCGACTCGTCACGAGGCTGACTATATATATCACAATGATTATAAAAAAAAAAAAAAACACTTAGACCTCATGGGGAGTCTAAAATGTGGAAACAAAAAAAATAAAATGAAAAACTTAATTTGTTTCGAAAAGTGGAGAGTTCTGGAAAGGGTGCGAGGGTTTCAGAGATTTGTGATTTTTTTTTTTTTTGTGGACATGGACATGTTCGCAGCAGTTGGACTTTTGCCAATGAATGTGGTCGCAGTTGGGGTCAGATTCGGTCGGAAGCGTCCGGGTGTGAGTTTGCTCGCGGAGCTGAACAGTGTTTGTTTAAGTTTTCCTGGCTATGTTCGGAAATTCGGGCTGCTGAATGCAGGCTGCATCGGAACTGATACGAGGCCAGGTGCAGGAGACGTTGAACAGCTTCAAACCAGTGATTCTGTCAAAATTGAAATTTGAGAAGTTCACTTTGGGCACAATTGCTCCGCAATTTGGAGGTAAAAGTCGAGATCTGAGTCCCCCAAATACTTTTTGTTTTCCTTTTTTTTTTTTTTTTTTTTTTTTCTTTTTTTTTTTTTTTTTTTTTTTTTCCTTTGTTCTTTCAATGAAACCACGACTGCCATTTTTTTGCCGAGGTGCAAAAGAACTGCTGCACCCAAGCTTTGCCGAAGCTTTTTTTGGGGGGGGTGGGCATCACCAGCCATCGTGGTCCGCCGGTAGCACTTTTTCTCTGAATAATGCAGTGTAGGCTATATCGGTGTTTCGAGTTTTTGACCGTCGAAGGGGTAGTGGTGGTTGAAAACTTAAAAAAGTAATTTCCCTTTTTCGAAGGTTTTTTTTTTTTTTTTTTTTTTTAGATAAGGTATTTCCTCCAGTCTGAACCTCCAATGGGCTTAAAAAAAAAAGAGAAGAAAAAAGGCTGGGCACAAACTACCTTCACGCTGGACAGCAACGTGACCTTGAGTCATGACGTAGGAAACAGGTCGGGGATCAGGTTCGGGCTTACGCCGAGGTGGTTCGGGTTTACGCCGAGGATCAGGTTCGGGTTTACACCGCTGGTTTTGTGAACGACCATATTCACGCCGCCAGGTTTGGGGGGTTTTGCCGAGGTGGTTTGGATGGGGTGGTTCAGCCGCTGGTTTTGTGAACGACCACATTCACGCCGCCAGGTTCGGGATTAGGTTCGGGTTTACGCTGAGGTGCTATGGCAGGTTCGTGATCAGGTTCGGGGGTTTACGCCGAGAAAAAAAGAATGCAACTTTGTGAGCTTTGCGAGCTTTGCGCGTAACTACCAGAGCACCAACCGAAGCACCATCCAAGCGCTCAACGTAAACCCAAACCTGATCCCGATCCTGAGCCTGAACAGAATGCCGCCAAACCAGGTTCAGCATCAGGTTCAGGATCAGGATCAGGTTCAGGATCAGGATGAGGATGAGGATCAGGTTCAGGATCAGGATGAGGATGAGGATCAGGTTCAGGTTCAGGTTTAATGCGAGGTTTGGACGGTGGTTTGGCCGGTGGTTTGGCGAACTACGGCAGGGTAAAATGCAAATTTTTTGGGACCTTTGCTCGAGTCATGACCGTCAAAGTGTTATGTGCCTGATTGAGACGAGATACAGCATGGCATCCACGCGTTCCCATACACATGGGCAATGACAAGAGATCTTGGAGAGAGCAATCCACACCAAACGAGACGAGGAAAATACACAGCGGAAAGTTCACGAGTCACAACCCAAAAATAGAGTCGAATTTTTAAATTATTTATTCAATCAAAATTATCAAATTCTAAATTCTAATTAGTACCGTCTCCCTCCAACTCAATCAGGAGAGTGAAATTCCGAGGATCCCAACCACGTGCCGACATCCACGAAGCCAATGATTTACGGAGTTTCGTCGAGTAAACTGAGACTCCTTCTTCGTTCCTCTTTGTCGGGCTCCAGCTACGGGGCCACTTCGACCTCCAGTGCCCAACCTAGCAGACACATCGATCGCCACACATCCTCCTGAACCAAACACACCACGGTGCTCGACTCATAATGCCCACAGCAGATGAAGTGTCCATTCCGCAGGGGGGCGCAGCTCACAGGATGGAGACGAAGAACGGCATCTTGATGACGATAAAGATGGCTGCAAGTCGATGAAGAGCTCTGCTGCGTTGTGGCAGCCGTACTATCCCGAACAGCACTCAAGGAGGCCGCGTGTGCGGCGTTCACTGCAGCAGATGAAGTGTCCATTCGCCAGTGGAGCGCAGCTCCCAGGAGGGAGACGAAGAACGCCATCTTGATGACGACAAAGATGGCGGTGCTTCGTGGATGAAGACGAAGAACGCCAACGCCGGCAATACCAGCCGGTACTATCCCCTCGATCTCCAACTCCTTAGAATACCGAGCCACTCCACAGCCTACGACAGCCCTGAGACTGCTACCTACGGCCTCCCTTTTTCCCAGACTGAAAACCAGGGAAAGGGGGGCGACCAACCTACTACAGCACAAGGCCTCCGGGCCTACCCGACCGATTCTCAAAGGCAGAACGAGGACCCAAAAAAAACAAGGTCCAACTGCCCGAATAGAGCACAGCCCCACCAAGGGGCAGTTCATCAGAATCAACCCGCTGCGCCCTCAACTAAAGAGAACTCACAATGTGGTCTCCGTACAGCCCGCCGGGAAACACACAATTCATTGCAAAAGCACCGGCAGCCGAAAACCACCAGTCGACCGCTCAGCGTAAACCCGAACCTGACCGCGGACCTGAACTGAGTGCTGCCGAACCACGGTTTGATCCTCAGCGAAAACCCAAAAAAAACTGATCCTGCACCTGAGCGCCGCCTTCGACCACCATCCGAACCTCAGTTCGAACCCAAAGCGGATCTTGAACCTAACGAAGTCTTGAACCGGCACGATACCTGATCCCGAACCTGACCGCTGCCTTGTAACTTTTTTTCTTTTTCTAGGCTACCAGACTGGCCTGGGACCACTTGCCCGGCCGGGCAAAAAAAAAAAAAAAAAAAAGTATTTTTAATTTTTTATTTTGTGTTATTTTTTATTTTTGATTTGGTAAAGAATTTCGATTTGACCCCGAGGCAAAAACTTGTCCAGTTTATTTTTCTGCATTTTTCAATTTTTGCGTATTTTTTTGAATTTGTTTTCTTTTTTTTTTTTTTTGCTAGAACCTTTCCTGGTCCTTGCACGGTGGGGCCGCCCGGGAAAATAGGGTGATCCGGCTGGTCTGGGTGGTAGTCTAGCTTTTTTTTAAATAAAAATGTTTCGGACCGTATCTCAATTTATGCATGTCCTCCTTGCGCAGGGCCATGCTAATATTATCCTTCTCTGTGTCGTCCCAATTTTCACGGATGTCCTGAAGGACAGGTACGGGGGTGGTTTTGAAGCACCTATGACGCCTTAATCCGATTCTCAGCTTAAACCCGCCCCATCTCCACCGAACCTCAGCTCCCAAACCTGAATGCTGCCATGAACTGCGGGTTGCAACCCAATCCCTACCTTGATCTCATCGTTAAACCACCAGCACGCCCGGGCCTGGAGGCGCTCCATTAGCATGCCAAGCTTTGCCAAGCCGCCGGCGGCGCATTTTTTTTTTTTTTGGCTGGCGCCGCCAGCCATGGTGGTCCGGTAGTCCCTAGGCGCAACGTTTTCGGAGTAGTCTACGAAGCCTTTTCAGCAACCGTGGGGCTGTCAACTGGCGGCTGAACCCCATCCTGAGAGCACTGACGACACCAGGGGAGCTGGACCTGATCTGGAAACCACTTTCCAAATCTCAGTTCGAACCCGAACCTGAATGCCGCCTTGAAGTGCTCGAGGAGGGGAGCTGCACCTGGTCTGGAAACCACCAATGAACAGCTCCCCACCAGTCGAAACCCAACCCTATCTTGATGCCATCTTCTTGACCCCATCCTTAAAACCACAAATGAACTACAACCCCCCCCC